ACAATTCAAGAGACGAAAGAGAGAATCTCAGGCGCAGAAGATAAACTAGAAGAAATAGATTCATCGACCAAAGAAAATCATACATCCAACAAATCCTTAACACAAAACATCCAGGAAATGTGGGACACCATGAAAAGGCTACACCTAAGAATAATAGGCATAGAAGAAGGTGAGGAAGCCCAGCTCAAAGGTGCCGAAAACATATTCAACAAAATCATCGAGGAAAACTTTCCCAATCTGAAGAATGACATGCCCATAAAAGTACAAGAAGCACACCGAACACCAAATAGGCTGTACCAAAGAAAAAGACCCCTCAACATATAATAATCAAAATACCTAGCATACAGAATAAAGAAAGAATATTAAGAGCAGCAGAGGAAAAAGGACAGGTAACATATAAAGGCAGACCTAACAAAATTACACCTGATTTCTCCATGGAAACCCTCAAGGCCAGAAGGTCCTGGATAGATGTTCTACAAATATTAAGAGACCACGGATGCCAGCCTAGGGTACTATACCCAGCAAAACTCTCAATCACTATAGATGGAGAAAACAAGATATTTAATGACAAAATGAGATTTTCCCAATACGTATCTACAAATCCAGCCCTACAGAAAGCATTGGAAGGAAAACTCCAACCCAAGGAAGGTAAGTACTCCCACAAAAATGTAGGCAACAGATAATCTAACTACACCAGATACCAAGGGTAAAGCAGAACAAATATATTCACAGTACCACTGCCAAAAACAAACCAGCATCAAAAATCAATGGCCTTACTTCACCTATTAAAACACACAGGCTAACAGAATGAATACGAAAACAGAATCCATCCTTCTGCTGCATACAAGAAACACATCTAAGCTTCAAAGATAGACATTACCTCAGGGTAAAGAGTTGGGAAAAGATTTTCCAATCAAATGGAACAAAGAAGCAAGCAGGCTTGGCTATCCTAATATCTAACAAGTTAGACTTCAAACCAAAATTAATCAAAAGATATGAAGAAGGTCATTTTGTATTCATCGCAGAACTGCAGGGATGGTTTAACATATGAAAAACTATCGACGTGATCTACCATATAAACAAACTGAAAAAGAAAAACCATATGATTATCTCCCTAGATGCTGAAAAAGCCTTCTACAAAATTCAACACCCTTTCATGATAAAGGACTTGGAGAAGTCAGGAACATACCTAAACATACTAAGGGCAATATACAGCAAACCAACTGCCAACATCAAACTGAATGGAGAGAAACTAAAGCCAATTCCTCTAAAAACAGGAATAAAGACAAGGCTGCCCTCTCTCTCCATTTCTCTTCAATATTGTACTAGAACTTCTAGCTAATGCTATAAGAAAACAAAAGGAGATCAAGGGGATCCAAATTGAAAAGGAAGAAGTCAAACTGTCTCTATTTGCAGATCTTATGATAGTTTATATAAGCGACCCAATAAATTCTACCAGGGAACTACTACAGCTGATAAACACCTTCGGCAAACTAGCAGGATACATGATAAACTCAAAAAAAAAAAAAAAAAAAAAAAAAAAAAAAAAACAGTAGCCATCCATTTTTTAGACTACAAAGAGACAGAGAAAGAAATCAGAGAAACATCACCCTTTACAATAGCCATAAGCAACACAAAGTATCTTGGTGCAACGCTTACAAAACAAGTAAAAAACCTATATAATAATAACTTCGTGGCTCTAAAGAAAGAAATTAAAGAAGATACCAGAAAATGGAAAGATCTCCCATGCTCTTGGATAGGTAGGATAAACTTAGTAAAAAATGGCAATCTTGCCAAAAGCAATCTACAGATTCAATGCAATCCCCATTAAAATCCCACCACAATTCTTCACTGACCTTGAAAGCATAATAATCAACTTTATATGGAAAAACAAAAGACGCAGGATAGCCAAAACAACCCTATACAATTACAGAACTTCAGGAGGCATCACCATTCCTGACTTTAAGCTCTACTACAGAGCTATAGTTATGAAAACAGCCTGGTATTGGGACAAAAATAGACAGGTAGACCAATCGAATCGAATTGAAAATCCTGATATTAACAGACCTGATCTTTGACAAAACAGCTAAAATTATACAATGGGGCAAGGACAGCATCTTCAACAAATGGTGCTGGCACAATTGGATGAGGGTGTGTAGAAGACTGCAGATAGACCCATGTCTGTCGCCATGCACAAAACTGAAGTTCAAATGGATCAAAGACCTCAACATCAATCCAGCCACATTGAACCTCTTAGAAGAGAAAGTAGGAGGTACCCTTGAACAAATTAGTATAAGAGACAGCTTCCTAAACATAACTCCAAGGGCACAGACACTGAGAGAAACAATTAAGAAATGGGACCTCTTCAAACTTAGAAGCTTCTGTAAGGCAGAGGACACAGTGGACAAAACCAAACAGCAGCCCACAGACTGGGAACAAATTTTCACCAATCCTATATCCGACAAAGGGCAGATCTCCAAAATATACAAAGAACTCAAGAAACTAGTCAACAAAACACCAAATAACTCTAACTTATCCATGGTGCCCTCAACTAACGCCTGTTGGAAACAGGAGCAAACACCCATACATAAACACTGAATCGAACTATAACCCAGATGCAGATGGAGAGGACAAGTCTGGTGGCAGAAACACATAGAGACAGCTTACCTTAACAAGGAGGTGCTAATAGGCCACCAGACTGATAGCTGGGAAGCCAGCATGCCACTGACTCAGGCCCCCCTGAATATGGGTCTCAGCCAGAATGACTAAGCAGTCTAAGGGACCTCAGACAGTGGAGCCAGGATGTATCCCTGGTGCACAAAAGGACCTTGCAAACACATCCCCATGGAGGGATAACTGCATTAACCTAGAGACAGGAGAGAATCCCTAGTCCCTAACTTCACATGACCTGTCAGATCTACATGACCCCAACTGGATGGCATTCCCCTACATATGGAATTGGGGTGGGGGATGGGAGGGGAGGGTGGTTAGGTTGCTTGTGAGAGGGCAGAGAGGGTAAAAGTAAGGGAGGTAGGGAAGTAGGGAGGGACGGAGAGAGGGAGGGAGAGGGAACTGGGATCGACATGTAAAATAATAAATTAAATTTAAAAAAAATGCTTTGACTCCAAAATTTAAGTTCAAGGACAAGTTACTGGGGAAAAGGATTTCTATTTTTGTTTCCACAGAAAATGAAAAGATGTGGATTCCTTCCAGCCTAATGTGATTTGATCAAGCCAGACCCCTTGAAATAGAGTACCAGGTGATCCTACATTCAAAACAGCTGGACAAAGCAGTCTTGCAGACTACAGCCAGGATTTCTGCATCTTCTTAGAATCCCCCATGATAGCGCCCCTTACCAGCAGGAAGTAGTTTGGAAAGAACAACGCCCAAATTCCCAAATATTGTCTATAAATGTTTGTTTTCATTTAAATGGACTTGGTTATAAAAAAAAAAAACATAAAAATAAATAAATAATAATAAAAATAAAAATAAAGAAAAGAAATCAGTAATTACACCAGGCAAAACAATATGTCTAAATGAAAACAAAACAAACAAACAAAATAAACCACCATGGTGGTCTTGTAAATATTACACAGTACTTAAAAGTATAAGGCTTGTGTATTTGGCCTTCTGCCTGTTCAATAACCATTCTTGGAGGCCTATATTTTTATGTTATCAGGTGGATTAAAAGGAAGACTATTTTTTGCTTTTCTTGGCAAGGTCAATTAGATCCAAGGGAGGTGCTGGGTATCTCTAGAATGTTCTGTAATTTTGGGGAATCACTTGTTCTCTTGTTCATGAAGTCATGAAGACCCCACATGGTGAATTCTAACAAATGTCCAGTCCACAAAGGTCAGAGTCAGTACAGAGAAATGAGTTCTTCATTGCTTCCAAGTGAAGCCTTTGACTTATCGTCACAAAGATGGAAGAGCTGGTATAAGAAAGCTTAGAAGATGCAGAGATTTGTCTCAAGTACAAGAGGCCCCTGAGGACTGAGGACAAGATCACCAACTGGCCTTGGAGCACATAAAGAGGAGGAAGACATGATAAAATTTGTCTTGCTTCAATGTCTTAACCAGCAAGAAAGTATATGCAAAACTTAAAATGATTGGTATGTTCAATAGTTCAACCATTATAAGTCTATATAAGGTGTTCCTTGGACAACTATTTCTCACTAGCTAATTTCTTCTTGATAAGAAAAATTGTACCCATGTATAAGCCTTCAGATCTCAGCTTGAAATAGCACTAAGAGCAAAAGAGACAGACCCACAATTGTTTTAAGCTAAAACTAGCATGACAATTAAAAATCTAGAAGCCATATGAGAAGGACATCTTATTTATTCTAGCCACTTCAACAATTACCACAAAGCCTGAAAGCAGATGGTGAGTTCATCGTTCTAGAGATCAGGCTTACAGGCCGGGGAACAATGGGGGGGGGGGGCAAAAGATGCATGTTCTTTAGAGCCTACAATAGTAGTCAAATGGATTTTGTTTTGAAAATTTAAACCTGACTGTGTTCTGACTTCTGGTTCTCTGTCTAGAACTGGTAATGTTAATAACTTATGCCTTTACTTCTCCCTCACATCTTTTTCCATTAGAAATGAAGAACTTTATTACAGAAGTCATAATGCTGGGACTTCGGGCATTTGTGATTATCTGGAAAGGATTTCAACCTTTGACCAATGACAAATAAACAGAGGCAAGAGAAAACAAACAAACAAAAAAGGCAAAATTCAAAGAATAAAAACTAAAGCATTCAAAGTAAAGGAATTCAAACTAGAGGCAGCAAAGGCAGAAGGCAGAGGCATCTCAAGAGGGAACAGCACTGCAGCAACAAAATGCTAGAAACAGGCAACTGGGAAGAGATGCACACATGTGCGCAGACTCAACTGCAGACTCTCAGACACCATTGTGAAAGAACCACCAAATACTTCCACCAAAGGGAATTCACTGAAGCAGCTTAGATCTTAAGTCAGAAATAGGTAAGATATATTACTTACCCGGTTTATACTGTTGTTCCCTAAAATAGCCTGAAGGAGAGTTTTCTCAAATTCTTCCAACTTCTTAGAACATTTTTTAAGAATACGATTAGATAAATTAAAATCACTTGCCAGTTTAGCTAATGTACCAACAGCTTCTGTCCAAAAGCTTGAGAAAGGGAGTTTAGGATTACGGTAAAACGTGATCAGGCCATCTAACAACTGGGAAACAGAATCAGAAACTGTGGAAGAGTCCTTTTCAAAGTGGGCTAAGTATATTTTCAGACTACTGGATTCTGTCAGTTTCTTCAGTTCAAGTAGACGTTGCAAGAACTGCATGTGAGAAGACGGAGGATTTTTCAGGGTGCTGCATGGCTTTTTCTCAAGAGGCAATGGGAGAAGCGGTGGGGGGCTGCAGCTCTCCACAAAATGCTGGGACAGCTCTGCAGGTTCACTTCTTTGCTCATTTGATAAAACACATCCAGAATCATCCATCAAAGCCAATGTATTTTCAGAACTTGTAGGCTCCTGATCTGGCAATGCAGGGGAAACATCATGTCCTGAAACATACAGGGACAAAGGCATAATCATGCTGCAGCTAAATGTCTTCAAAATAATACAGTGATTCTATTCTAAATGAGAATAGTACATAAAGAACGTAAATGCACACAAACATTTAGTAAACAGTATAAAAACAGAATGGAGGCAAAACAGAAGTAGTTTAGTTTGACTAAGGAAATGGTTTTGTGCATTTTCAGTTAGATCTCTAACTCAGCTGCAAGCATGTTCCTAGGAAGTCACAATCACTGCATGCATTATCCTCCATGCAGAACTGAAACTGTTTTTAAAATGATTTGTTTTATTTTTAATTGTCTGTATGCATGTGTGTCTGTATGTGGGTATGTACACCTCAGTGAAATGTACAGAAGCCATAAATGGGCATCAGATCCCTCTGGAGCTAGAGTTATAGGTAGCTGTGAGCCATAAAACATGGTTCTGAGACACTCTGCAAGAGCAGCAAGTGCTCCTGATCACTGAGTATCTCTTCATCCCCAAGCGACCCAATTGCAAAAAGAATAATTCTATCCATGTGTGTGTTAGAAGAGCACAGTACTCAGACTGACCATGGACTATACTAGCTGCTTCATTTTAATTCCCTCAGGAAAATGTCATAGGAACACCCAGGAGATGACAACATGAAAAATAGATGGAGAAGATTCTCTCATTCCATGAAAGGAATGCATCCACTCTGCAAAAGAGGACCACAGTGAAGTTTTACATGGTACAGGTTATAGCACTTAAATCAAATTATGAAACCGAGTAAAAGAATAATTATATTTTATTTTGAAAAGAGTTCTAAACAATTTCAGTTTTACCTACTTTTTATACTGTTTGATAAAGGTTTATGCACAACTTATAGGAGAAAATGGTCAGTGTGTAACCTGCTACTGCCTATGAGAAATCACTCATGGTTAACAGATAAAATGAGCAATGATCAACACTTTGTTAACTTAGATAAAATCATTAAAATTTCCCAAAGAAGTTACAGAGACATAATAGAAACACAAGTAGATATTTATTACAATAAGCAGTTTAAACATGAAAGAAAACTCACAATAAGTTATACTTTCTCATGGCATACAATTAGCAATTTTTAGCCAATGTACAATGTATTTGTTCTCCTGTTTCTTAATTCTGAGGGTGGTACCTATAACTAACATTTACTTTAGCAGCCAAGACTTTCTTTAAGAAAGTACTTATGGCTTAACTCTCTAAACAATAAAGGGCAAGTGAATCAATAGTGACTGTCATTAAGATGGAAGAAGAAACACTTTTTCCTTAGAGAGGATTAAACAGCTTCAGTGACACTATTAATGCATTATCATCTCTGGCAATGGTTATTAGTAAGGCATTTACAAATAAAGACAAGTTTTTAAAAGCCTATAACTGTTTGAGAATATACATCATGAAACAGCAATGTACTCATGATCCATTGAGAAAGCATTCTACAGCAGCAATTAGAACCTACTCATGTGTTTGGATCTGTTTCCAGAGACCACAAAACTAATAAAAACATAATACCAAGTGGACTTCACACATATGTACAGAATACCTCATCCCACAGAACACACATTATTCTCAACAGCTCCTAGAACTATCCCTATTTTAGTATGTTACCACACATTATAGGCCACAAAGCAAATCTTAAAAATACAACACTACACAAATACTCAAAATTTCAACAATGCACTCTGTAATAGCTAGTAGGCCACTGAAGAAGTCATGAGGGAAAATTATAGGTAGCTAGAATCATATACAAATAGGAACATAATTTACTTCTGAGTTATTGCTAAAGCAGTTCTAACAGGAACATTAATAGCAATATGTATTCCTTAAATGGTAAGAGTGGTCTTAAATAATTAAGCAGTACAAATGCTTAAAGGAACAGTAACAATAAAAATCAAAAGCAGTAGATGATAAAAAAATTGTAAAGATCAGGGTGCCCAACCCCAATTAATACATCTACTATAAACCCCCTGCACTTATGGTTTGGAGAACATTTCTGTAGAGGAAACAGACAGATTGTAAGAGCCAAAGGACCAGAAAGTTTGCCAAGAAAGTCAGACTCATGATACCTCAACAATATGGCTGCCTAAGGAAGACCTGAACAATATCAATAGGCATGCTAACATGGAAGAATAAAATCTTCAAAGGACCCAACCGAAGATGAAAAACTATATAGGCAGTAAAGAACTGCAAAGAGAGGAAGAATTGTTTTTACCAGAGACAAACCCCTAATAGGCTATCTAATATTAAGTGTTCAGTCCCAAAAATACATACATACACTATGCAGACTTAAAAGTTTTATTTACATATTTATACATTTATTTATTATATACATATGTAACACATTATAATTAAAGAAACAGAAGTTAAATTTGAGAGAAAATAAGGAGGGGAACATGGGAAGAAATAGAGGGAGGAGGGGGAAAGTGATAATTATATTTTAATTTTTAAGATTTCTTAAATCCAAGATAATTATGAAGATTGGAGAAGAAATTAATAAAATGGAAACTAAAAGAATAATATATAGACTCAAGCAAGCAGGGATGATTCTTTGAAAACCTAAAGAAGTTGGGAAAACCCCTAGGAAAAATGAACAGAGAGAGATAAAGAAAGAGACACAAATTATTAAATTATGGGAGAAAGTGGGAATTTACAACAGATCCCGATGCATGGTTCATAGGCATCTGAGTTGATACTTTCTGGTACCACAAAAGCTAGTTGCAAGGGAGGAGGCTTTCAGAGCAGTTCCAGTTCGGGGCCTCTAGACCCTGATTCAGAAGTGCAAGCTTCTATAGAAAAATGTACAATCTAAAACAATAGCAATGGTCAGTAATGTTTCTGAAGTATCTTGGACAATCAAGACCAACAACCTGAAAGATGTACTCATGTCTTGTGTTCTGGTTTTTGGTTAGATAATCTTTAGCTTTTAGAGGGAGCATTGTCAGCACAGACAAAAAAAAATTTCATTGAACTATGTATTCGGACCCAAACTTACATTTATTATAGGATTCTAGGTAGACACTTTATAATACAGAATGAGAAAAGTAATCGCCAGTGTCACACATCTGCAAACCTGCAACATTGAAATAATTGTTTTTGGAGGTAACCAACTTCTTTCTGATTAGTTCCATGCAATGGAATCCATGCCTAGCATGATAAACTTGGCCAAAAGCCTATCCTAGGAGGCCACAGACCAGGCTGGGAGGAGGTATAGCACGGTGAGGGCAGTACTACTGATGTCTGTTATATGGTCACGAAGTCAAACTGCCTTCTAAACATTTGTGTTCAAAGTTACAAACTAATGCTCTTCTCAATCTTGGTTAAAGAAATTTCTTTTTGCAGTGGGCAACAGTTGGTACAGAGATCCTTACCTGGTTAAAGTACCGAGAATGAGTGAGTGTTAAGTGCACAGCTCTAAACATGGCATCTGTTAGCATCCCTCCAAGGCCCAGGAAATGGTGTGAAGGAGAAGAAAGATATTATAAGACCAAGAGCATGGGGAAGAGTGCTGTGAAACACTGTCTCTACTAGATGTGTCATGGCTATTACAACTATAAACACAGAGCAGGCAAGGATACCTACACAAAAAGCCCACACACGTATGTGGGGGGGGGGTAAGATATTGTTTGCAAGAACAAGGGATTCAGAATGGGTAGGAGGAAAATAAGATGGTAATGAGGAATGAATATAAGTACAATACAATATACATTAATGAAATTTTCAGAAAATGTTCTAAAATTCAAAGTTGTAATGAATATGGTGCATTAAAGGCCATTGAACTGTATAAACAGGCAAACTGCATGCTATAGAAATTATTTACCAGTAAAGATTTTCTTAAAGAAAATCAATGGCAAACTGAATTCAAGAACACATTAAGAAGATCATACACCATGGTTAAGTTGGCTTCATTCCAGGAATACAAGACTGTTTCAGTGTACATGAATAAGTAAGTCTAATTCAGTACAAAAGTCATCTCAATATAGAAAAGGCTTTGATAAAGTTAACATCCCTTCATGGTCAAAACCCTGAAGAAATTTAGGGAGTAGAAGGAACACATCTCAAAACACACATGCTATTATCAACAATCCTATAGTAATTTCTATACTAAATGCAAAAGTGAGAGCAACACCTCTAAAATCTGAAAGGAGACAAAGGCGTTCCCTCTCTCCACTTCTTTTTAATATAGCACTTGGAGTCTTGGTGGAGTAAGAGGATGGGAGAAAGAAATAAGAGGGAAAACAATAAACAAGTGAAACACAAATGGGAAACAAGGAGGCAAAAGTATGCCTAATTACAGATGACATGATTCAGGATTTAAACTATGTTAAAGACTTGAACTAGAGAACTGTTGTATATGATACCATGCTCAGCAGAGTAGTAGGACACACAATCAACAACCCCCAAAATGCTAGAAATAAACAGAGAAAGAAATCAATTCATTGTGCCTTCAAAAAATTCAAATATCAAGGAATAAACTTAACCAAGGAATGAAGGCCTAAACTTTGAAAATACTTGTGTAAGTAATTAAAGACAACACTAGAAGATGGGAAGATCTCTTACAACCACAGGTTATCATAATAATGTGAAAATGTTTATGTTTGAAAATCATCTATAAATTTAAATTAATGCCATTTTCATTGAAATGATATTTTCTTCTCAGAATGAGAAAAAATAGGGAAAAACAGATTCTAAACAGTCCAGTAACAAGCAGAAAGATGAATGCTAGAGACAACATAATCCATATCTCAGACTATACTACAGAGCCATAGTAGCAACACTGCATAGTAGTGGTACAAAACCAGACACACAGAAAGAAGAGAGAAGCTAGATAGAAATCCTCACAGTAATAACAGAGGACTTTAGCAAAAGATGACAAAAAATATATACTTAGAAAAAAACAGTCTCCCCAACAAATGCTGGAAAAACTGGGTATCTACATGAAAATAATGAAATAAGATCCACATCTCTCACTCTGTATAAATGGTCAACTCAA